CGATGGGATGAGAAGGCAATCGGGGACCGGGTGGCTGTGCCAGCCCCGGTTGTTGCAAATAGGATTGGGGCTACGTGTTAGCACACTCCTGGCAACCCACGGTCCCCAGTGGGGGCCAAACGGGACCATTTTGCTTTCCACCCTGCTCTGGGTACGTGGGGTGATGCTGGCAGCCAGGTGAATGGAAACGACGGCAGAGCACAGGAGGAGGGAGATGAGGGGGTGAGTGGGAGGATGAAGGGTGGTGGCTGCATGGGCAGAAGGAGGGGGGCAGATCTGGCACTGGGGGGGAGCCCGGGGCAGTGGGAAGGGCTACCACGGGGTGTCTGAGAACCACGGGCCGGGGTTCCCCAGGGATGGCACAGGAATGCTCCTGCACACTGGGACACTAGGGCAAATCTTCCAGCTGCCCAGAGAGGTCTGAGGCTCAAACATCACGTCCGATCCCAAACTGGGGGGCTCAGTTTGGGATAGCATCTAGGGGCTTAGCATCACCGACTGCCAGGCCCTCTTCCCCCATAAGCTGGCTGAATGCGGGTGCTGTGTCCCACTGCCACATCCATGCAAAGAAATTTCAAAAAAATACTCAGCAGCTCTGCTTTAAGGATGTTCTAAACTCAAACTTGCAATTTTAGCGCTGACTTAGCAGATTGCTCTGGTATCAAAAGATCTCCTAAACCATTGCCACCATGTTACCCCACACCCTGTACCTCCCCCCGCACCCCTATGGAGCTGGCTGAGACCCCCGGGGCACAGCATGGCTGGCCGGGGGATGCTTGGGGCCGGAGCAGCTCACTGGTGGGCCCTGGCACACAGACGCTCCATGAGGGTCAGGCACAAGCTAACTGAATGCATAACTTTATTAAATAAATGCTTTGTCATGAGAAAAGACAAAGATCAAAGAGTAACATAAATTATAAGTTGAATAAATAGTATACAGCAATCTTCACTTTTTAATAAAATGTGAGATTTTTTTTTAAGTACAAAATGCTAAACAGAGCATTAAGCTCTTCTTCCGTTGTCAGTTTTTCACAAACTGCTTTTTTTTTTTTTTCCCCACCAGTAAGATTATGAGTATTTCTTGTTTACTGGAAAAAAAAAAAAACCCAAAACAACAAAAACAAAACAAAATGAAACAACAGAACTACCGTATGTATGTAAAGCTATAAAAAGCTACCGTAAAATGTGTAGTGAGTATTGCTTAAAGATAAAAACCAGGCAGGAAACTCGGAATCTGGTGTGTTCTAACAACTGTGTAACAACGGTGGGTAACGTGCGCAGTGACGTCTGTCCCAGTGGCAGTGGCGGGGGGCTGGCGGGGCTGGGGAGGGGGGCACAGTAGGCAGGGCTCCTAGCCAGGGCCAGGACAGCGGTCTGGAAGCAAGGTGAATTGTCGGTTGTTAAATATACAATGCTCCGTTTGGGAAAAAAAAAAAATAAAAATCCAACAACAATAAAAAGAACACCAAACCAGCAAAAAGAGTTTTCATGGGGAAGGGCATGGGGAAGGGGGAGAAAAAGAGAAGGGGCGGGGAGAGAGCGGAGAAATAGTGCAAAATGATCTTGTACTAGTGGCTTTCGAAGTCCACTGCAGTACAGACCAGGGGTAGC